GCAGCTCCCAAGGCCAACGGCACCTCAGGGCATTGGTCCCTTCTGCTCTTTGGTGCGCGAACCTGGTGAAGAATCTGGGAAGTTGGGCGTTGGTTGGAGAGGAGAACAGGTCCACCACTGGAAGTCCGAATATCTGAATCAGCACCTGAAACAGAAGAGGGGGAATACTCCACTCTGGGGGGTCAATTTTTGCTCTACTTAGCCAATCAGCTTGTTTATTATCCCTCCTGGAGATGTGTTCCGCCCTAATAGAAAGCAGATTCTTTTCTGCCCAAAGTCCCCGACACTCAGCCTCTAACATAAGAGCTTGGGATCTGGTACCACCCTGTCTATTAATGTGAGCCTTGGTGGTGGTATTGTCCGTCAAGACAAGGACATGGGAGTGAAATATGTGTGACCTAAATTGTTTAAGAGCAAATCTGACTGCTCTTAATTCTAGCTAATTATTATTACTCTTCCCTTTTTCTATTGGAGACCACAGGCCCTGCGCCAAATTCGAGTCTAGATGGGCTCCCCAGCCGGAGAGACTGACATCCGTGGTGATGACTATATGGGAAGGTTCTTTGAATGATTGTCCAGCATGTAAGGCCAGAGAAGACCACCACAACAATGACCTCTTGATTGATGTAGGGACAGAAACCCTGACAGCTGAATGATTCCTGCCAGACTGTTGCTGAGGCAAAAAGAACCATTGAAGCTTTCTGGAGTGAAGCCTGGCCCAAGGCACAATGGAGATGGTAGACATCATTTTCCCTAATAGTTTGGATAGAGAAGCTAGGGTGGAAGAACAAGCCTTCACAATCTCCCCAATCATAGAATGCAGACTGTCTATCCTCTCTTGTGAAAGAAAAACTTTGCAAGAAAGTGTATTTATGTTAGCCCCCAAATGCAATAAAGTTGTGGAAGGAGAAAAATGGCTTTTCTTCGTATTATGGAAAATCCATGGTCTTGCAACATGTTAATAGTGGTCTGTAGATCCCTTAGGGCATGGTTCTTAGACTGGATTAAAATGTCATCTGAGTAACACTGAACCCTAATGGGGATACTCCTCAAACAGGCTACCAGGGCTGCCAAAATTTTTGTAAAAACCCCGGGAGCAGAAGACAAGCCAAAGGGCATGGCCCTGTATTGGAAATGTTTGCCTTGGTAAGTGAAACATAAGTATTGCCTATGTGACTGACAAATTCTGATATGAAGATAAGCTTCAGTTAGATCTATAGAGGTGAGGAAGTCACCCTCCCTGACGCCAGCCAAGATAGTCTGTAGTGAATGCATCCTGAAACATTTGTACAAAACAAATTTATTGAGCCTTTTAAGATCTAAGATGGCTCGCCACAAACAGACAGTAATAGAATCCCTTGCCGTGTTGGTTAATGGGGACCTTTTGTATGGTATTGAATTGCTTGTTCCACCAACTGTCTATGAGACGGTATTCTGGAGACTGAACAAGGTACAAAAGATCTGGGAGGAGGGGATTGAAATTCGAGGGATAGACCCTGTCTAACAGTTTGTAACACCCAAGCGCCCGATGTGGTAGTTTCCCATTGGGCAGCCAAATGGGATAATCTGCCCTCAATGGGAGGACTACTGCTATCTTTATCGGGAGAGTCTGAAGAAGTGACTTCCTCTCCCGCAAAAGGGCCACTTGCCTGAATACTGCGGTCTGTCAGGGGCTGCTCTGTCCTGAGGGCGTTCTTGATGGTAGTAGGGTTGCCTCTGGGACCCGAGCCCCTGAAGTGCCCTCTCCTCTGTAAGAGGATCTACGGTTAGAAGGAGCAGCCCTAAAACTGGAGCGTCAATTTTGAGAAGGAAGATACTTCTTCTTTTCCCTGGTTTCAACCAGGTGCAGCTCCAGGACCTCGCCAAACAGTTTGTCCCCTTTTATAGGAGAAGAGGCCACCTTCCACTTGCGCCGACTGTCTGCCTGCCAACTCTTCAGCCAAAACATTCTACGGGCAGCTATGGATGTGGCGATGGCTTTGGAGGCAAACCTGGCACTATTCAAAGTAGCGTCTGCAGTAAATTCTGCGGCTGCAACCAACTTATGAATATCCTGATGGATTCGCACGTCAGATGGAGGGACACATTCCTGCAATTGGTGAAGCCACCGTAGAGAGGACCTTGTGAAAAAGGAGGCAGCCAAAGCCGCTTTAACTGCCCAAGGGGCTGCCAGGTGAGTGCACTGGAGGGACTGCTCGATCCACTTATCCTCAGCTTTTAGTGCCTCTTCAGGATCTGCCGGATTGGATGAGGCAGATACCATAGCCGCAACCAGTGTATCAACTGTAGGTACCTGTAGGGAGCTGGTTAGATTGGGCCCCATGGTGAAGAAACGCCTCTCGTTGGCTGACAGCGAAGAGGAAGTACCAGGGGCTTCCATCTGTTTTTGTATAACATTGAGGAATAATCTAGGGACAGGCACCATTTCTGGTCTTACAGCTGGTTCATCAGGCCCCAGCTTTGCAGTTTTCTTGGCTTTGAATAATAAAGCCCTAAACTTCTGTGCATCAAAAATACCAGTAAAGGAAGGTCTTTGCGAGGCCATATCCTCATCCTCTGAGAAATCAGATTCTTTTTTCTCATCTTCAAGGGCTCTGCCCGAAATGCTGGGTAGCGAAGGCACTGGGGAACCTCTGTCTCTGAAGGAGTAGGTTTCTCTGGCCTGAAAGGACCTGTCTGGTTCTGATTGATCTGAGGTTTCAGAGATATTTCCTTTAGATACTCCAAGAACCTCTACCACTCCCCTTCTGATAGCCTTGGCAATAATGGCTTCCAAATGAGCTGGAACAGCCTCTTCCTCTTTCTCAGAATTGTAAGGTTCAGGAACAGGTCTCTGGCCCTTTTACGGGGAGGCGGAAGCAGCTCCTCCACAATTGAAGGCCCCCTATCATACCTCTCAGTGTCTCCCAAAGTAGTTGGATCCTCAATTGCAGAAGAATTATCAGGGGACCAAATACCAGGGCGAGGTGGCCCAGTAGAGATAGAAGGTCCTACTTCCAGTTGTAAAACTGAGGGTTGTGCAGATTGACCTGACCCAGCATCAGAAGGGCGAGATCTCCTGTCCTTCCCCCCAGCCACATGGTGGCGTTTCTCCAACCTTTTTCCAGAAGCCTTTGGTTCTTTCTAGACCTCTGGTTCAGCTCTGGCTTCAGGGGCCTTCCTCTTCTGTCTGCCCCTGGATTTTCCTTTGGAAGTGGAAAGGTTGGGCTCCCTTTCTTGTTCTTTATCAGCCATCTCACCTTGAGAATGAATTAATTCACAAGAAAGAAGCAGGGAAAGGAGGAGACCTGCTGGAATGAGTGAGGAGTATTAATAAATCCAATCACAAAGGAATAATGCAATAAAAAGCCTTATGCAGAAAGAAAGTAATCAGCTTACCTGGTTAGCCGGCTTAGCAAGCTGCAGCCACACCCTGCCGGTCTCCCACCAGGTTTTGGACCTGCAAACAGGTCAGAATGGCGCCCACGGGATTCCTCAATGCTGGAGATGTTCCACCAACCATTGTAATTCAGCAATGGCAACATGGCCGATAGCGCCCTTCAGCTGGGGGTAACCCTGCCAGCTGGGATTGGACCGATGCCCGATCAAGCGGCTACTTTTCTTCCTCCAAGGTTTGCAAATCTCTCTGCCAGATCCTAAAGCCGCTGCTGCAGGCTGCTGCGCTGTGCATTTTGCAGCCAAGGCGATCCAAACAAGCCAGGAAAGCGAAAGAGAAACTGCAAGCGGTTTCTGCTGATGCCGTGCCACCGCGCCTATCAGGTGGCTGCCCTTATCGGGCCGATCGCCTGGAGCCCTCCCACGTGATCCTGGCTCCCCGCGTTGAGCCTGGAGCCCTTCGCGCAATCTGGAAGTCCTGGAAGCTAAAATTAGCTCACTCACCAGTCTCCAGCAGATTCTAAGCCTCAAAGGTCAGTTTAAAACTTTTTTTCCTTTTTACGATCAGGATCCAATTACAGCTACATTGGAGCCTTGTAAAACACATGGAGCCCTGGCTAACACTGAGTCGTATACTGGGGAGTGGCTTCAGCAAAGGGCCGGAGCTTGAATTTGAGCAGACTCAGTCCAACTGGTTTAAGCAAAGTTAACCCCATCTTATCTGGATTCACATAACCATAGATAAGAAAATAGTCTGCTATAACATCTTGCCTGTCAATGACTTATTCAGCTTCCACCACAATAACATACAGGCAAACAATTGATACAAACTCAATATAAGCAGCTTCAAACTCGATTGCAGAAAATACGACTTCAGCAACAGAGGGGTCAATGGCTTGAATGCTCCATTGTTACAGCCTCAAACCCTCACAACTTCCACCTCAAACTGTCTACGGTGGATGTCACCCCATTCCTAAGAGGTCCGTAAAGGGGGCATTCATAAGCGCACCAGCGTGCCTACCGTCCCTATCTTACTGTCCCCATTTATCTGTATTTATTTCCTTTGTTCATGTTTATGTTTATACCTGCTTTGACAAACAAACAAACAAACAAACAAACAAACAAACTAAATAAATAAATAAATAAATAAATAAATAAATAAATAAATAAATAAATAAATGTAGAGAGACTGGGGAACGGTATGCAGGTGGGGAAGACTTCCTCACTGACTTTCTGGGGAAACTGACAAGGAAGGTTGCAAATGACAATCACATGGTTGAGGGGGAACTACAACTAAGATTGTAAGTTCAATTGCCCAGTGCCCAGGTCATGATCCCAAGACCCTGAGTGCCCAGATGGCCAGAATTCCAAGAATTGGTTGTAACCATCATTCATTCAACATTGTCATGACTTTGAATGGTCACTAAATGAATGCTTGTAAGTCAAGAACTACCCGTGATTGTTAAAAACAATTAGTTTGGTTTATCTGTGCTTAATTATAACTAAAATTAAATTAAACCCCTTAGATTTAGTTTAATACAAGAGTGTACATATAAATTGACATTCTGTTCTTGTTTTAGATGAAAAACAGGAAAACATTATTAAGCAATACTGGAGGAAAATACCTGTAACCAAATCACCACTTGGTCCATGCCATTCAAATATTGGGTCGATCAATTCTGAATTTCTCAGATGATTTGTTAAACACAGAATATGCGGACTGTTATGATGCTGCCTGACATAAACTTTGACTGAAAATATAATTTAATTAATATTTGTTAAAAGAAAGTACATTAAAAATAAAATGCATTTAAAAAAACAATTATCCAAGTAAAGCTATGCAATCTTCAAGTTTTATGTATTTACGCAGAAGAAAATCTAATTAATTTCAAGGAGACTTGCTTGTAAGTAGCTCAGGATTACATGAAAGAGATTTAATCGGCATACATGGCAGAATATATATGTTTAGACTTTCAGATATAGGATGCTTTTGTCATGACTAACAAAGTTATATCTTTAGTTATGGCATCTCAATAATTAAATGTTACCTTAAAAAATAAAGATTATGTCCTTTGCTCACATTCCATTCTTTGTAAGATTGATAGACAAGCCAGGATTCACATTGTTAGTAATAGATTGCTTAGAAACAGGCTGGAAGGGACCTTGGGGGTCTTTTAGTCCAACTCCCTGCCCAGGACAGGACTCCTTATATCACAAATAAATGGTTGTCCAATCCTTTCTTGAAAACCTCCAGCGAAACACCATCAGGAGGCAAGTTGTTCCATTAATTTTTCTGACAGGAAATGTCTTAGTTCCAGATTGGATCTCTCTTTCATTAGTTTCTGCTCATTATTTCTTGTCTTGCCCTTAGGTGCTTTGGAGAATAAGTCAACTCCCTCTTCTCTACGACTGCCCCTCAAATATTGGAAGACAGCCATCATGTCACCCCTAATTCTTCTCTTCATTAGACCAGACATATCTACCCTGTTTCTCCAACAATACGGCCTCCCCCAATAGGAAGTCCCAGCATGTTTTATAGGCATGAAATGAAATTAAGCCCCTCCCCCAAATTAAGGCCTATATTAAAACATGCGAAATGGGGGGAATGGTGGGGGGGGCTTGCCATTAGGAAGTACTTTTGTTGCACACCCGGTTATGGTGCTGCCTGTGTTGACCCCAATACGAAGTGCCCCACCAACGCCGAGGTCAACATCCAAGCTGCCGTCGCTGCCCGCCCGAAGATGCAAGTCACCCTCGAAAAGGGAATTAAGTCACCCTCGAAAAGACGGCCTACCATTTTTTCAGGGCTCAAAAAAAAAAAAAAAAAAGACCCGGCCTTATTATATGAGAAACACGGTAGTTCCCTCAACTGTTCATTGTATGGTTTAACTCCCTATCATTTTGTTACTTTACTCTGCACTTTTTATAGGGTTTCAGCAGTTTTGTGTGAGTGAGTGTGCGTGTCATGGAGACCAGAACTGGATGCAGTATTCTAAACATGGCTTCACTACAATATACAGCAGCACTATGATTTTAATTACTGTTCTATTGATGCAGCCTAAGATCACCTTAGCTTTTTTAGCAGCTGCAGCATACCGCTGGCTCATACTTAGGTGGTTGTTCATGAGGACATCTAGAGCCCTCTCACAGTTATTGCTGTAGAGCCAAGTACTGTCTATTCTGCACCTGTGCATTTGATTTTTCCTGCGGAACCTTACTTTTCCCATCACTGAACTGCATCCTATTGGATAGGACCCAGTGCTCAAGTCTGTCAAGATCCTTCTAAATTGTGAGTCTTTTTTCCATGGTGATTGCAATTACCCCTACTTTGGTGTCATCTGCAAATTTAATGAGCTCCTCTATTCCCACTTCTAAATCATTTATTAAGATGTTGAAGAGCACTGCCCCCAAAATAAAATCTGATGTATCCCCCATACACACTTCCCTCCATATACAGTCAATGCAACTTCACTGAAGACTATATGCCAAATGCAGTTGGTCAACCACAAATCCATCTGGTGGTGGTACTGTCTACCCCACGTTGTTCTATCTTACCGAGAGGTGGACTGTGATCTATCCCACGTTGTTTTTATCTTGCCAAGTGGTAACCTGTGCTCTTCTTTGTCAAATGCCTTATTGAAGTCTAAGTATAGTACAGTATATCCACATCATTTTCTTGATCTACTAATTTAGTTAATTTATCAAAGAAGACAATAAAGCACAATCTGTTTTTAACAAACCCAGACTGGTTTCTAGTAATCATCTTTTTCATTTGTAGGTGCTCACAAATCCGCCACTACTAGGTGTTTGCAGATCCATTGCTTGATTATCCTTTCCAGAGTTTTCCCAGGTATTAATGTTAAGCTGATTTGTCTGTAGTTTCCTGGTTTCCCTTTTTTCCCCTTTTGAAAATTGCACATCAGCTCTTTTCCAATATGTGGCAGTTCCCCTCCAGGACATCTAAAAGGTTTAATTCAGTAGTTTGGAGATCACATCATTTGGCTTTTTCAGAATCCTGGGATGTAAACCATCTAGTCCTAGTATTTTAAACTCATTTTAAAGTAGATAGGTAAGATATTCTCTTAATAACTTTTCCCTATTTTGATCTGCATTCCTGTTCTGTCTCCCATGGTGCTACTTTTGATAGATTGGGCTAAGTTTTTCTTTTTGCATGAAAACTGATGCAGAGAAGGAATTAAGCAGTTCCACTTTCCCCCTGCTGTCTGTCACCATTTTGCCATCTTTTCCTATTAGTGGATTGGTCATTTCTTTGACTTTCTTCTTAGTTCTTCCTTACCTATTAAAATAAACTTTGTTGTTTTTGTTATTGTTTTTGGCATTTGTTGCAAGTTTTACTTCATTCTGAGTCTTAGCTTTCCTGACTCCACCCTTGCAGATTCAGGCTATTTATTGGTATTCTTTTCTTAGTATGAGCTCCTCTTTCCATTTTTATACTTCTTTTTGTACTTAAGTTTGTCAGAGAGCTCCTTGTTGAACCACGCTGGTTTCATCTGGTCTCTTATACTGTGTTTGATTGGGTTTTTTAATCTCATCTTTCTGTGTTTCCCAATGTTGAATTGCTTTTCCCTTTAGGATTTCGATCTATGGAATCCTTTCTAATCTCTTAGCTTGTTGAAGTCATCTCTCTTTAAATCTAAAATACTCCTTTGATCTTTTTCAACAACTATGCCTGCATTATGTTGAATTCTAGTATAACATGGTCACTCTACTCCTAAAGTTCCTACAAATTTTATTGTCATTTCATCCCTATTAGTAAGGATTAAGTTCAGTGTAACTGATCTTCCAGTTTCTTCCTCTGCCATTTGGATGATGAAGTTATCAGCTAGGCTCATTAGGAAACTGTTTGATCTCCCACTTGCTGCAGAATTTATCTCCCAATTAATGTCCCTCACTACTATAGTGGTGTATTTCCTATACACCTATCTATCTGATTAACCAAAAATTCATCTATTTCCTCTGATTTACCTATAGCAATGTTTTTCTTCTAATATTCACCAAATACATTCAAGAAGTCTTTCATCCTTGGTATTGTATGTATCTATTCTAACATACAGTACAACTGCTCCTCTTTATTTATTTATTTTTGGAGTCTGTTTCTTATTACAGGTAGTCCTCAATGTACAACCATTCATTTAGTGACCAAAGTTACGACACGAGAAAAAGTGACTAATGATCATTTTTCACACTTACAATCATTGAATATCCCTATGGTCACATGATCAAAATGCATATGCTTGGCAACTGGCTCATATTTATGAAAGTTGCAATATCCAGGGGTCATGTGAACACCTTTTTGCAATGTTGTGATAAGCAAAGTCAATAGGGAAGCCAGAGTCACTTAATAACCATGTTACTAATTAAATAACAGTGATTCATTTAACAACTGTGATAAGAAAGATCATAAAATGGGGCAAAATTCACTTAACAACTGTCTTGCTTAGCAGTAAAAATTTTGGGCTCAATTGTGGTTGTAAGTCGAGGATTACCTGTACATCTAAATGGCAATCAATAAACTAAACTATATTCATTATGGTAAATGAGTTTCAAAAAAACAGGAAAAGAAACCAACTATAAATCTGGATTTTATATGGTAACATCTTTAGTTTAACCATTAACCAGTCTGTTGATTTCAGTTTAATAGGACCTGTGTTTTCTTGATTTGTTTTACTTCTCATAGAAAGTAATGAAAAAGAGTAAAGGAATGGCATTAACATTCCTGAGGCATGAACTGCGTATTTCATCTAAAGGCAAACTATTAACGAATAGAGCCAATGCTGCAAACCTCTCAGAAATTTCAAATTTCTTTGAATGAATGTATAGCATTTACTATATACCTGGTAAATTTGTTGATCCTACAACTTTCGGTGCGTGATGTTGTATTCTGGTAGAAGAATGAACTGTTAAAAGAGAGGAAAAAATAGCATAAATTCAAATCTTAGAAAAATAACTAGACAGAAATGACTGCTGAGTAATCAGAAAAAAAATAACAGATCAAAGCAACTTCAGCCTCTTCACACACAATTTCAATAATAGAGAATGAAGTGGCCATATTCAAGCAATAATCCAAAATATTTAAAAATATATTTCAAGATGCTTTGAATAAATGCTGAAATATTACATTCTCCTTTGCTGTTCCCATCATGCTAGATTTGGTGTTAAAAACCAGACTTGCACAAGGTAAGAATTTCATTCTATATTCAAATCAGAAAATACTGGTTTAATATTTGGTATCAAGCAGTAATATCCTGAATAATTTTCTTATTTTGATTATAGTTCTTTTTTTGAAAAAGACAAAATTTTCATAAATCAAACATAAATTGGAAGTTTTTGAACAAACTTCTATGTATGATCTTGTGTGGCATCTTGTGGCCAGTCTAGACAAAGAGATAGAACCTGAGCAAAACATATCCAAATTTTCAACATTCTTATTATTTATTATTATTAAATTTATTAATTTGCAGAATACTTATTTATTTATATATTAATCTCTCTGAAAAATATAAGACTGATACATTAATTTGACACTCGATTTCTTAGCACTCTCATTAATTTCAGAAGCACATTCATTTAAATTTAAATTTCCTATTCGTTTGATCAATTTTTAATCAATTCATGTTATTTATTTCACTTATAAATTACCGTATTTATCGGCGTATAACACGCACTTTTTTCCCCCTGAAAATAGGGGGCAAATGATGTATGCGTGTTATACGCCGATATAATGTTAAGAAGCCTTCGGTGAATGCTGCTGGGATCGGGGATCAAGGACACAAATGAAAGAAGGGGAGGGAGGAAGCAACCGAAGCCTGTCCTTCTCTCTGGGTCAGCTCTGTCAGTCGCTCTCTCGCTCCTCCATCAGCACAGGAAGAAACTGCTTCAAAGAAGCGGGGGGGGGGGGCTTCCCTGAAGCGCCCG